GAGAGCGACAGAGAGAGAGACAGAGAAATAGATAGATAGACAGATAGATAGATAGATAAATAGATAGATAGATTGATGGATAGATAGATAGATATATTTATATAGAAATAGAGAGAGAGAAAGGGGGGGGGTAGGAAAGAGACAGAGGGAGACAGAGAGAGTGCAAAAGAGTAAAGTAAAGAGAGTGTGTGTGTGTGTGTGTGTGTGTGTGTGTGAGAGAGAGAGAGAGAGAGAGAGAGAGAGAGAGAGAGAGAGAGAGAGAGGGAGAACGAAAAGTGTCACCAACATGCTCCCTTACACCACCCCCACCGTCATCCACCCACAACTACCATCATCATCGACAGCAAAAACAACAACAGCACCCCCTCACCATCACCATCATCTTCAACAACAACAACAACAACAACAACAACAACAACAACAACAACAACAACAACAACAACAACAACAACGATAAGAGCAACAACAATAACAACAACAAGTTGAAGATGGAGAGCAGTTTCTCAAGCGCTTCTCTCTCTATCACACACACAACAACAATAACAACAACAACGACCACAAAAACATCAACGCCACCATTACTATCACATCCATCCTCACGACTCACCTTGGTAGCCAGCGAGGTGTGGTAGGCGCCACATTTGGGACACGTCATCTTCTCACAGTCGACACAGACGTTGAGGCTGGGCCTGGAGCCGTCCTCATTGAGCTGTAGCTCCTCCTTGTTGCACACAGGGCAAAGGGGAGCTCCTGCCTCACTCAGCTCAGACAGGGACGCCTCCCGCTCGATCTTCGTGGCAAAGTCCACGTACTCTTCTTCCAGTTTTCTGTGGGAAACAAAAGAAAGAGGTTCCGTTCTAAATCTAGCTTTCCTTTTTTTTTCTTCTTATGAAGGTATTCTACACACCCATCGACACAATTTAGATAATTTTGGATGTGGGCTTTGATCCTGAAGAACAAAAGGTTAAGTTCTAAATTTAGTTTCGTAATTTTTTGGGTAATAAGTAGATGTTTTTACGCCGCCATGAACAAATTTAGATCATATAGAAGGCTGGCTCCGACCTGCAGAGGGAAGTGTTAAAATTCAAATCTAGCTCTGTATTTTCTTTTCTTATGTCGGTGTTTTATGCCCGTATTGACACGATTTATCTCTCTATGTTAATATTAGATTTATTTCCAACACCCATTTAGGTAAAGCTTAAGTATAGAATAGCCTTGTGCGGAGATCGGGGTTCATCAATTTGGGGAGGAGGGAGAGGGAGTGCACAGTGGGGTAACAGTTAGCTATGCCTTAAAGAAACTGGAAACAGTAGACTGCGAACGCCCTCACTCACACCGCCATCTTTTCGAGGGGGTGGGGGAGGGTGAGGGGTATACTTTACTTGCACGCCAACTTTGGAGACTGGAGATCAAAAACATCGGTTAGATAAAAGGGTTTGACCTTTTCGCTAGAGGACACCTTCTTTTGGGAGAGCTGTAAAACCCTTGTAGCAACCTTAAATCCCAAATGTTTCCAGCCAGATCAAATCCCGCTGTCGATCAAAATCTGCTCCAGTACGCTGTCGTTACAACGAGCAAGTGGTAAGATTATTTAGGACGCAGAAGCATGAAAAAGGAGTCTGAATTTTTTAATGGCTGCTTTACTGTTGATGGAAAACGAAGATTCGGACTCTACTTCATATTGATATTAGTGTATGGAAAAAGGGCGTACATGCAGGCATACCGTGTGTGTGTGTGGGTGTGTGTGTGTATGCATGTGTGTGTGTGTGTGTGTATGTATGTGTTTGTATATGTGTTTGATAGGGGTGGAGATAGATAGATAGATAGATAGATAGATAGATAGATAGATAGATAGATAGATAGATAGATAGATAGATAGATAGAGAGAGAGA